CTCGACTTGAATACCTAACTGAGAACTTACTTCTCAGCAATGATATACCTTGGTTTATACCACTGACCTCATGAGTTGTGATGAGTAATCAAGGCACTATTTATTCTTTTGATATGACTACTTTAATTTCTAAATAAACAAAGATTTTATTTATGAAAAACAGACTATGAATATAGCGTTTTGACAATAAGAAAATTTATTTCATTTTCGTAGAAACAAAATGTTTGCCCTACAAATCCTAAGGAATTTTGTCTGGTGGCTTAACAATAAAACCTGATACACATTCGAGATTCACCAACAAAGTACTTTAATGTTTGTTTGAAACTGTAGCACAGTGTTATCACTGTTAGTGTTATTTAACATGAGCAATAGCGCAATTTACATGATTACTGCTGCGCATTTATTTCACGTAATTAATTTCTAAGTTACTTAATTTCACTACAATTAGCAATCATCATTCATTCAAATGTTTAAGTTGTTACTGTAAAAATTGTAATACATTTTTATTGGGACACACTGAATAAAAATGATCTTACCTTAGGTTAGACTTTAAGTTTGGTAGCTGAACCTTATGACTTATATGGAAATCCAAATCGTCCTTGTCATCAGAAGGATCGCTAGCTGGTGCCTCTGTAGGTTTCGATAGAAGACAATGATCAACGCAACGATCTAGCACGAAGTCTACTGTTTCATCCTCGCCGGGGCATTCCCTGCTAGGACACGGACTCCACCAAATCTAAAAAAAAATAACTTGTGTAAATAGTATAATATTACATCGCACAATAACAAAAGAAGCACCTTCGATGAGTATTTGTAGGCATTGCTATTCTTGGATAGAAATTTTAAATTTTTATTATTCTCTGGTTTCCAAACAAAACGGATGAACCATTAGATCAAGGGTAAAGTCCAACGTGCATAAATTTAGCTTAATTCTCTTAACTAATTCAAACATACAGGATCACAAGACACTACTAGTTAATTCGCCCTGGGGCCGGATGAGAACGATTTGCTCAAATTCTTAGGTGTATACTCTGTTAGTACGTAACAAGGTCTTAAGGGGTCGATTTCGAAACAAGTGTAAGTACCTCTACGCTATTCGTGATCGGGTGGCGCATGACGTAAGCTGATGGCATCATCCCTGGCGTCTCTTGATGAGGAATCAGCAGCAACGAGTGGTGGAAAGCAGCATTCATAATCAATGCAGTGATCACGACTGGCTTGTATTCTCCAAAACGGTCCACCAAAAATCCTAAAACGATTCCAATTTTCTAAATACACTGTTAACAAAATCACTTTATAGTTAAACATTTAAACTTACCGGTTATAGGTGGACTAAGAAATGTTGTGAACGGTAACGCTAAATACACAAAAGAAATTTCGGGCACAGTCAGTCCTATACTCTGCATGTGTATCGTCAGATACGGCAAGAGAGATGCTGTGGCTCCGTACATAACAAACAGAGTCACTTTCAACATGATCAAGTTTGGGTTGATCCGCAACTTCACCATCAGTCTCCCCACGCATCCTAACTCCTCATCACTATCCCCGTCCATGGTTGAATCGTCTTCACTGTTTTTATTCACTTCAACAGATTTCGCCATATCGGAATCACTCACATTCACATTTTCATCACGAAAGGATGTTTATTGGTGGGCTATATCTTATCGACTGGCGCTCGTTTCGGTAGCAAAGGCTGTTAGTGCGACGATTATTTACATAAGGGAGTTTTAGTTTAGTTGTAATGAACATACGTATGATCGGAGCCAGCGGGAGAGCCAGGGAGGGTCCCGTGCTCCCGAGCGACTGCGCCTCGGTTAGATCTCGGCGGACGTCGCTCGGCACACCAATTTACAAATAATAGCAAATTACCTTCGTTTAAGAAGTGTCACGGCTATTGGTGGGGATGTTGGCTAAATCGGCTGGCGATCCGAAGACCTTGTGGGTAATGGCTGGGGTCGGGGCGCTCGATCCTTTAGTTCCCGAGACGAAGGCGCGCATCGCGAATTAGCGCGAACTCTGGAGCTACTCACCATTTGTAAGTAAGTCACTTTGAATTTATTTTTCTTTGTATCTGTATAAAAGTTATACTTTATAATCAGTGTTATATTAATTAAGTAGGTGATTTATTAAAGTGAAAATCTATTAGTCTGAAGCAACGTATCGTGTGTCCTTTGTTAGGTCGTCAAGGTCATTTTCAAAATAATTTAGAGGGGATTAAGTACTAGTACTTTTTAGTACTTAGTACATATGTTTTGTGGCTGAGCGAATTTAGATAATATGCAATAAAATATTTCTCCCTTTTGACCTTTAGTAATGTCATAAAGAAATCCTTACTAAGTACCTATTTTATCAATGTTACTAAGATTAGTTACCCAGCACAATGTTATTCTGATTGTGTATCTACCTGTACAACAATCACAGGCAAGCAGTGGAGGTTAAACGATACCAATTATTACTAGGATATACCTAATAAATCATAATAAACAGACAATACTTGGCATCGACTGTATTATTAACGGTTTCATTGCTTGGTTGGAATGTTAGGCTCAAAAAAGATTCTAATTTAATTTTAAATTATTAAAACCAGTAAACTAAGTGTTGTCGCCGCGCCGTCCGAGCGCGATTTAGCTAAAACTTAAATTTGTAATTAACATCTCTAGCGATTTGCTTTGCTTTACGTACGGCGTACTTTTTTCGATTTTGGGAGTATTCTTCACTACATAGTATAAAACAAAGTCGCTATCCGCCGTCTGTCTGTCCCTATGTATGCTTAGATCTTTAAAACTACGAAACGGATTCTGATGCGGTTTTTAACTGTCAAACACCTCTCGGTCACCGGTGACCGCAACCTATTGTTCTTTAATTGTGTCTATAATGACGGTACTCAAAGAGAGTGATTCTTAAGGAAGGTTTATATGTATAATACCTACATGCATATTACACCCGTGCGAAGCCGGGGCGGGTCACTAGTACAATAATATACTTACATCGAACACCGACCACTGAACAGAGGTTTCCGTAATTTCCATTTATCATTTTCAAAGTCAAGTATAAAGTATCAATATTAGATTTTAAAATATTTAAAAACTTAATTTACCTAATGTATCTTAACTCGTCGAGTACCGGTTTTGTAGACACAATTATAGAACAATAGGTTGCGGTCACCGGTGACCGCTTGGTGTTTGACAGTTTAATAAATACCTACGTAAGTAGGTGCACAGCCTCTTATGCCTATCATTCTTAGTCCTATAACTCCAATGTGAATAATAAATAGTTTGCACGTACCTAATGGGAATCGACCATAGATATATTTCTGTGGAATCGACCTAAAGTCGGCACGCTTAAAGGCTTATTCAAAAACATGGAATATATAGCTAAACATATTTTGTTTATAAAAACTAATTAAATAAGTCTGAGTCAGCAAATGAGTCTGTAGATTACAGATATTATCAAACTCAATGAGAATGATCAGGCGTTATTAACTTTAACTTTGGATATCACCATAAAATCTTTCAATTACCTAATCACTATATTCTTACTAGAGTAATTTCGTGTCATTTTGTCATAGGTACTTACTATTTAGTAGGTATCTATAAATAATATGTTATGACCTATATAACTTATAGTCAGAATTTTAATTAGATTCCAGATTTGACAATAGCTACTGTCATTTTGTGAAATAATGATACCACATATAATAGTGTAGTGATGGACACAAAAATCGATAAACAATCAGTGTGTGTGTTTTATAATAAATGTTACAGAAAGTGGCAGGAAAGCGATAGCGATGACGGCGACAATTTATAAAATAACTTATTACCATAATACATCTATCTGTTTTATTTGTCATTTTCCTTCATGATTACATTTTTTTAGTTATTTCACATACAATTATAAAAGAAAAGTCTCAGATCGTTAAGTAATCGTTAAAACTAAATGATCGGTCAGAAATATTTAATTTCCTGATATCCTTAGTTTACGAGAGTAAAATTATAAACGAGAAGAATCGATCCAGAAATATTGCATTTCCATATCGAATAATTTCGCAACGTCACTATTTAGTACTTGTCATAACGTTGCAACACTGAAATTGTCAAATCTGGAATCGAATTAAAATTCCGAGTATAGTCTGGTTCATCCATTGAGTTCATCCAAACCCATGTTAAACTTAGGTTCATCCATGAATTAGTCATTTTGAAAATCAAATTACTGTTTTGTATTTGTTCTCTACATGTTAGATATTGTTACGGTGTTCTTTGAAAATTTACTATTCTATTTAAATTGATATTTACTTAGCAGACACATAAATGACGTTTTCACTCATCTCTCAATACTTCCATTCTCTACTTTCAATCATTGCATTAAAATTGAAAAAACTGCCATCTACCGGAATGCATAATAAGTTTATACATTGAGCGCCATCTAGTGCGGAGTAGCTAAGTATTAAGAAGTGAAACTACGCAGAACACTTTGTAATGTTATTTATTTTATATTATCTCCGTCAAATATATGTGAGTATACTTATTTCATATACAATTGTACAAAACTAACACCATTCTTTTAGTACAGTATCAAGGTTTTAAGATAAGATATAGAATAACAACATTTAACATTATACCTAATTGAATTAATCTTCATGAAACCAACTAGGTTTGAAAATTTATATAGAACATCGGAATGCTTGTCAAATATCTAAAAATACATCAAAATCAATCGTGAGTTGTATCGCTACCCGCTTCTTGTTAATACTAAGTGCGTGTGTGTACATAGCGAGTAAATGTCAGTCTCAGTTTTATTTTTAGTAAAATAAAACTTAACTTTTTAATAAATAAAAACGCTAATTGTAAATTAATATATTTAAATTGGCACTCACTTAATTTGAAAGGTCTAATTAGATTTTTCATAAATATTCGACTGACGATTTTACTGCCATCTATCGGCAAAGAAAGGTAATCATGTCAAAACTCTAGAATGTCTATAGTCTACTGCAAATTGTCAACCATAGTGCATTGCGCATAAATGGCCGCCATGTTGCTGCCGTCTGAAAGATGTTCGCAACTGTGTGTGTTTTCTAATGAATTTTAAGAACTTATATAGTTAAATTACTGTGTTTGTGAAATTGTGAGTGTACAATGGTTTTATATTTCATGTATTATTGTGATTGAAAGGTCTATCAAATGTCTCTGAAGCCAATAAACAGTGAAATTTTCTTTAGATAGTCATTCGGTTCGGACGGCATAATGGCTGACAATCTGATTCAAAAGTCACATAAAACTAGTGAGAAAAACAAGTATAACAACGTTGTTCACCGTACGACGAGTGAATCTCTTCGACTGAACGAGTCGGAGAAGGGGGTGACTCACCCGACAAGTCTGCAAGCCGCCCATAACCCAAGGAAAATATCTTCATTTCAGATCACCAGTGTGACGGTCGGCTCGCGAGTGAGCACTGATGCTGGCGAAGACTCTGCCGACGATCTTGATGAATCTCACACCGACGACATATCGAGGGTGACTGACATTGAGAATGAAACGCCTAGCTATTCCGAGGACACGTTCTCGAAAGATGATGTGTTTTACAACGCGTCAAGTGCATCATTAGGTTGCGCCCCCGTCATCCCAACCAGCTCGCAATACGGGCTTGCGATCGTCGGTCAGGACAACCCTACGAACCAGATAGGAGGAACAGTGCCAAATAGTAATAATACTGAAGTGTCTGACATGCATGTCAGCGTTACTAACGCCGGAGCAGGCAGCATCATTAATCTCATAGGAAATGCGAAACCCCAAGAAGGTATGAAAGAAATACAAGAACATGTTAGGAATGAACGGTTTAAAGTTGTGAAAATAGAAAGCACTGAGCCTTTTCGTAGAGGTCGATGGATGTGTATGGATTACTTGGACCATACTACTCAGCAAAATGCACCAATCACTATAAATAATAACCTTGATGTTTCTGAGACTAATACGCTGCAGGCTCCTGACAGTGGTGTAGTGATTAACGATAGTCAACATGATGAAATGTCAAATGATCTGACTAACAAAGGGCCTAAAGATATGCAAGGTAATGCTCCTACTGTGCAGCAACTAGAACAAACTCTTCAGAAACAATTTCCAATGGCATCTCCGGGCCAATCTTTGACTCAACCTCTTAATGCCGTACAGCAGCAAATGCAACCTGTTACTCAATCAGTATCAGTGCAATCTCCACCCTTAGAGATGCCACAACAAATGCCAAATCAAAATCTGCAGGCGAACCAGCAGCAGGTTGGACAGCAGCATCCCCAGAGTATGACTCACATCACTATGCAAAATGCTCCGCAAAGTCATCCACAACAGACTCAACAACAGCAAGTGCAACAGATCCCTCAAAGCTTCCCTCAGCACCAGCTTCAGCAAGTGATTGCCCAATCTCAGGGAATGGCAATGCAACAAATTCCAATGCACCAACAGATGCCGCAGCAAATGCAACAAATACCAAACCAACAAATGCAGCAAATAAGTCAACATATGCCGCAGGCACAAATACCAAACATGCCTCAAATGCAGCAACAAATGCCCCAGATGCAGGCTATGCCAAATCAAGGACAGATTACTCAAGTGGCCGCTCAGCAGCCACAAATGCAACAAATGCAAATGCAGCAAATACAAGGCCAACCTAATCCACAAATGCATATGCAGCAAACACAAATTCCCAACATGGGACAAACTCATCACATGCAGGGACAGCAGCCAATGGGAGCCCAGCAGGCTCAACTCCAGCATTTGCCAAGTCAAGCTCAGATACAAGCTTTGCAAAACCAACAAATACCCAATCACATTCAACAGATGCAGATGCCCACTCAACTCACTGGAGCTAATCAACAGATGCCACAGATGCAAACTCAAATGCATCAGTTGCCATCACAGCCCCAGCAGTCAGTTGTACCTGGCATGCATCCTCAAATGCAACAACAGGGAATGTCTGGAGTTCAGCAACAGTACAATCAAGCTGTGAGTCAACAGTCCAATGCTCAGTCTATGATCACCGCAACCATGCCATCGTCACAGCAGCAAATGGTTCAACCTCAACATACAGTTCCTCAATACCACACACAGCAATCACAGATGTCCCAGCAGGGGCAAACTTTGCCTCAGGAGGTGCTCACTTCTATAGTTACATCACAGCAAGGTGCAACATTGCCTTCAAATCTTCAACCGATGCCTTCTCAACCACAAGGCTCGACATTACCTGCGAATCTTCAGAGTCTTACTGCTCAGCAACAACCTAATACAGTGCATACTATTGCTCCTCAGCAAGGTAATGTGCCACAAGGAAACATGATGATGACCGCAGCTCCACAGAATATGCAGATGACTCTAGACGGGAATCAGCCTAGTATGATACCCGCCTCAGATCCTATATTCATGCAGCCAACGAACGTCGGTCAACAGATGCCTGTCGGCCAGCATATGGGGCAGCAAAACCTGTTACCTCAGCAAGTGGGAGGACAGGCGCAGATGGGCGGCGTGCAATACGTGTCCAATCAACCGGTGGCGCAAGTCTCAATGGCACACCAAAACATTCCGATGATGCAGCCCAGCATGCCGGTCGGTATGGGCGGCGGAGTCCACCCGAACGTGGTGCAGTCTCAGACCAGTATGGGTCTGAGCTACGGGAACGTGGTGCCGGTGATGTCGCAGAGTAGTGTAGCGCCCGTCGAGGCGACCGTCTCGGGGACTAATTCGCCGGTGGTGTCGATGCCAGTGAGTTCTACCGCGTATGTAGCGAACACGGCGCAGCCGGGTCATGACAGTCAGGGCTTCGGTAGCCCCGTGAGTGCTGTGTCTCATGCCATCAGTGGCGCGGTGATGAGCAGTGTCAATGTGAATGCATGTGATAGTGGTGCTCCGGATGTGTCTGCAGACACGCTGCAGGCTGGAGATACTGGCGATGGCAAGGAGGAGCAACAGCCCGCGCCGCCACCAGAGGATGAAAGGTCAGTCTCTTTTCAAAATTTCCTTTTATATTATTTCCACACACTTTCTCACATAAACATAAGTAACTAATTGCAATTTAGGTATTATTATCTCTTACTTAAATCTCTTCAGTTTGTATCATACACAGATGCTTCTCAAGAAGTGCTATGCAACACCTACATTTTCCAATCAGATCATAGATGGTGTATTCTAACTTCTATTTGTATGCTAAATCCATGAATACAGTATTACAATCTTGAATTAGAAAGTAGAAATTGAATCTTTATTTTTTTTAATTGAACACCATCTTTTTATTGCTCTTCTTATAACTGCATTAAATATTTACTTGAGAAGTATATTCAGGTACCTAATTATAAATATTTAAGTATTTAATTTTATATTTATTTACACATTTTTGTTATTCTCATTCAAACATTGAATTAAGCTTTTCCTGAGTTTGTAAAGGAAGAGTCTGTGGTTGTTTAATTTTTAATTTTCAGTAAATGTTTTTAATGAGTGCCCTTGGTTTAATAATATGTTTAAATTAATACATTTTGGTTGTATAACTTTGTCTTTATACAATGTTGTGAATTAACCGAGTAATACACAAAATCATCTTGACCAGATCTTAACTTTTCTTACCCTCATCTCTTCAATACTTGGTAAGACTAGACAAACTATGATTTATTCAGTCTTTTGCAACTTTTTGGACATTTTTCTGTTTAGATACTTTATGGTTTCAAAAGAAATCTGATGACAAATAAAAACACCATTTTTTTAAATAATTACGATACAAAATTAACACGATAGTAAAAATCTCAAATTCTAATTAGGTAGTAATTACCTGGTATTAATCAGTAGAAACCTATGTAGGTACATAGAAAATACATGCTTTTATTTATTGATGGCATGCCTTAGGCTTATGGTTAATTGTTACAAATAGATTGATAGATTGAAAGTACCTACCTAGTTACAGAAAAATTAATGTTTGAAGTACATGTCATACCTAGTTACCTAGTTAATTTTAAATAAATAATACAAATTAACAGTAAAATAGTTTTCAATTAAACTACCTACATCAGGATAAATAATTATAATTACTTAATTACCTATTCAGATTTATGAAATCATATTTCTGATCAAAATCACATAGTCACATGAGTCAACCAATGTAAAGTTTGTCTCACATTCAGTGAGTGAGTGAAATGGAAATATCAAGGCAAGTTAGTTCAAATCTGAATGCTGGAAGCCGTAAGAATCTTAACTTAGCATTTGCGGATAGCGACAGAACTTGCATACAGCAAGTGGCGAATCCGTATCTATTTGCGAAAATAACTCATCCGTAGACAATGGTGGTTGTTTTCGTTGCTTTTCGTTGGTGCTCGCACCGTCGCCGAGCGGAATCCAACGTCCCTTTGATGCTGTTTATTTGCGCTTCGTCCTGCGACCAGCGACATAAATAGGTGGTTGACACGTACATTGCATGGTGCGCGCCGGTATGCCGCCGGTGACTCACGCGCAACGCACCCGATCTACTGCCTGGCTAAAAAAGCGACGGTCGTGCGGTCTTTTTCGTCTGGCTTGTTCAACGACACGTACCTACTCCTTTTTTTACACTAGATTTCTCGCGATCCTTTCGCGGATCCTTACTTATTTTTTTTTTGTTATTATTAGCCAATTAATAAGCATTTATGCAGTTAGGCCGGTACCTGTGATTGTGGTCACGTACAATTGCATCTGTACTCGAAACTCGGTAGTATAAACCGCATTCCTTGAATAACCCTGAGTAAAACCGCGAATTTATTCACAACACTAAAGACTTCCTCATGTATTCATGACACGAAGCCGCAAAGAAGTTGGTACAGGCGCCAGCGCACCTACGTCACTGGCGTCGTTCGTAATCGAGTAGAGGACCGAAGGCCGTGAAACCCGAACCTTCCATTCGCTTCTGATCGACTCACATGCACTACCATTTGTGCTTAAAATAGTTCAACTAAGTATTCACTTAATATGACTAAGATACTTAAGCAGAAGTGATATTTAAATTAAATTTGTTTCGATTCCTTAGAGCATCAGTTGTTGTTTTGTTGGTTCGCATAGTAGGTACTTAAAAATATCACTTATGTCAGCTCCCGTTATTTTATTGCTTGTAAAGATTCCTCGAGTTTTTTCAATGGCCCATTGTCTAAACGTACTGTTTTTGAACTCCTGTCCATTCATGGAATCATTGGCGTAAGGCAGTTTCATGGATTGAATCAATCACTTTTAACATATGACAAAATTTTGATGAAGTTATGGATAAAGTATAAAAATTTATATTATGATACCTCATTTAAAATATACGACAAATTCTGTCTTGTTAGTTTTTGACTCCCTAGACCGCATTTCGCTATAAAAAGCCAGTGCACACGACAGAAGTCTGCAGCTGATTAATGCAGTACGTAATAGCACGTAGTAAATCCATTGTTAAATCAGGTCGTAGTATTTATTATCTCACTGTACAAGCGGTCTAATCGCGAGAACTGTTGACCCGATTTTAATGGATTTCATTATTCATAATTGGATATTTATCCGATGCAAACTCGGAGGTAGGTCTAAGGAGTTTCATTCAGAGAACATGTTCCCGTCATTATTTTCCTATCCAGGAAAATAATGTAGGGAACTGTTGTAATTTGTAACTTATCTTCTCTTCGACTGCTCACTGAAATCACTAGTGTTTCAAAACTGTTCACATTTAGTAGAATGTTGCATGAACACTAATGAACACGTATTATACAGAGACCAGAACAAAGATCAATTAATTAAATGTTACGTGCAAGCAAAGTAGATTTCTAACCCACTTAATAATGTAACACACTTATCTCGGGTAGGTACATTACTTACTAGTGCGACTGTTTCTGATAGTGATTACTTTAAGTGAAATTGGAACATCTATCTTATTTAGAACTTCGTAGCCCCCAGAATTCTTCGCCTCTAAACAGATATTTGCAAGTGACAATTCGAGAGAATTATCCGCGCGTACATTTTCTAACTCGCGGTGCAATCTATTGGCGTGCTTATATTGGTGAAAGTGGATGCACAAAATGCCTTCTTGGTTGAGATCTCCGCGCTGTATTGTCAAATAAAGCGGACTTTTATAAAGAAATGTGGGCGAATTTTACAAGTTGGTAATTTATATGACCAAACCGGGTCAGCCAATTTTATGGGTCTCACTCATCTCAGATTTTATTGACATTACACGCTTTATGTCATAATGATTGATTTAATTCATTTATGTATTATTAATTTACACACATACAACACAAAGGAAAGGACAACACATACACACAAAAACGAAGTACATAGGATAATGGTTGTAACTGAAAACTGATCATAATTAAAACAGTTTCCATATCGTTTACTTAATTATGATTAAGTGCCAGTACTGCCCGTGTTGATGTTTCATCGAAATTGCGTAGAAAAAATGACGTCATCATTTCACTAAATCACCCGCTGAATCAATTTCACGAATAGGAACGTCATACAAGCCTCGTATGCGTTAACCACGTTAACGATAACAAAACATGGAGTCACCCGATCAGCATAATTTTTCCATTGGTGCTGTATGATAGAGGTTGACGCTTCATCTGTGCTACGTCACAGCGGTCGTGGGAAGTGTTACCATTGAATATGCCCTGATAACATGTTCCATATCGCGTAGTTTGTTGTCAAACAAACAGCTGTAGGTCGACGGTGCGTGACGCTGGCGCGCCTCGCAAGGACGTCGAGGGCTTGAAAAAACTCGCTCCGATCAACGCGTGCACACCGTCTGACTCTTTTTCATCTCGATAGTGTCACAAAAAATTAAAGATTTTTTTGCACAGCAATGAGGAACTCGTGGCCCCGATAAAGTGTCTATAACTGCGCAGTATCATGTCGTTATAACTAGTAGTTTAACATAGTAAATAAAGTCTTGTTTGTTTTAGGGTCCTTGCACACTGATATTACGTATTAAACATTTTAGACAGTCAAAGTTTCATACACTTTGTTTTATCCATGCTTTTTAACTTAAATCCTATATTAATTGAAAAAAATGGTCGATACTTAATATGGACACCTTAGAACATAAAAGAATAGGTATGCAACTTATGGTCCTCAGCGCCTAATCAGACGTCAATAAAAGTTTGTTGACTGATAATAACCTGTGATAATAACAACTCGACGCACCGTCCCCGTGATATGAAAACTATTAACAATTCCAAATATCGATAAGATAGTGATTTATTGCAATTAAGCTAGTACTATTCAACTGCTATAAATTTTACAAGCCGCTTTCACTTTTGCAAACGATTTGGTCAGAGTCTAACAGCGCATTGTTGAAATAATTTTAAGATATTTGCTTTGCTTTTGTAACGAATAAAGTGATCCTCTTCATCATAATAATGGCTCAGTTTGAATGGTTTCGTGCGAATAATTAAACCAGTCAAGAGGCCGTTGGTCTTGCGGATCTCACGTGCATTCCTCGAATGTTTCCACGCCAGTTAATTAGCGTTGTGACCTCAGACTGAACAAAATAATTAAACAAACGATTACCAGACGATATCGTTTAATAAATCAAACATTCAAGTGTTACAGCGCTAAAAAGTATGCAAACTGAAAAAGTAAAGTACTAGCATTGCTTCAATAACACAAAAACGTATTTATTTTCGTCCATTAATGACGTGGTTTTTACATAATTGAACATCTGTCAACTGTGACAGACAAGCGTGAAAAAAGTGATCAAACTTATCAAGGTGGTGCTAAAATTCCAATAAGTTGATATCTTTGATTGCTTAACATGATAAGTTAATTGATTATCGACCATCCATTGTTTCTTTGGAACGAACATAATATCTTGACACCTAAAAAATAAGTACCTACATAAATAGCCTAAGATAACGCTGCTATAAATTAATAAAAAAGATGCACACGTCTTAACGCGTTAAAAGTCGATTGATGGAATGATGCGTGCAAAATAAGTTGTTTCAGGTTCAATAATCTG